TTTTAGAAAACTCAAAATGTCAATATCAAATTTTAATAACAAATATACATTATTACAAAAATTACTGTATTATTGACAGTAAAAAATAAATTATACTCACACAAAATAAAAAATAAATTCAATGCGATTTTTGACTTTGTTAGTTAAATGGGAATCACTCAACCTATTTCTTTCAGCAGTTTTGATGTTTTCCATTCACGAAAAGAATTGTTCACGACAGTATGCACTACCCCACACGCATAACAGTTCTCTAGATAAAAGAGATTTTTAACACCAATTGCGTCATTATGACATCAAAGTGTATCCAGTGAAACGCGAATAACTTTTACGACATACTTTACCAAAATAGATGAAAATATACCTTAAAAATTAAGGGTGCAGTCGGCCGCATAAAAATATTAAGTGGGCCGCGAGTTGGGCATCCCTGTCTAATGGCATTCTACGAAGTCATAGAGCGTGCATTAGGGGTAAAACTCGTACTCGGATATTACTATTTCTTCTTACATTTTGATTATTTCTTTAAAGAAAGTTTTACACGCGCATCGTTATATTTTCATTTATTCGTAATTTCGAAGGTCCAGCTATCAACATTCGAAATATTTATTATAGAATGTATCTAAAATTTTTGTTCTATTCGAAGGTGACCGACATTCCATTTGTATTTTTCTCAGGAAAGTCGGTAAAACAAAGGTGCTCGTCGGTCGAAGGGTTTATAAGCGTATAGAGGACGAACGGTCGTTCTGTTCTATATACACAAATAATAAATTTTAAAGAATTACAACTCGCATTATTTTATCTATAATTCATAGGAAAATCTCAGTAGGCTCCCTATCCGGCACTCGATTTACTAATCGCGTGAACATTTTCGGCCCCATTTAGAGGCCTTCGTCGGGTAGTACAGTGGATTCGTTCAACCCGACGTATACAGAATAAATTAAAAGTAACAGCGAAGTTGAGGCCGAAGTTTTAAACGGGAAAACGTGTACGTCGGACGTTCGGGCCGCTTTCCCGTAAGCCTAGAAGTTTGACAATGGTGTTTGGAATGTCGAGCGTGATTCCACTGACTATCCAGACACCATTGTCAAACTTCTAGGCTTACAGGAAAGCGGAGAAGAACGTCCGACGTACACGTTTTCCCGTTTAAAACTTTGGTCTCAACCTCGCTAATAACTGTTTGACGCGGACATTGCATCGGTGGAGTGGCGTAAATTAAAAAAGAAAAAAACAGAATCGTTATTTTAACGAAATTCGTTTTATTTTCGTTTCTATTCTCGTTTAGGGTAGAGGATTCTTAGAAAGTGCGCCGTTCTTCCGTATTTAATTACTACCAATCTCAGACTTTTAGTAGTGTGGAGCTCCGGAAGTGGGTGGAGAATACGTGCACACAATTTTTTTAATTTTGTATAGAAAAAAATTCAATAATAATAATTATTATTATAATTTAACGTTCTAAAAAGAAACCGTCAAATAAGAAAAAAAAAAGGAAAACGAAAAATGAATATTTCGTGTCCATAAAAGGACATGTCTGTAGACATTTCCAAGAAAGATGAACTTTACAAGTTAAAACAATAGATGAATGTAAGTCTTAAGATCGAACATCTTCGATAGGGATCGAATTGTCAGTCGGTCTGGGTTCTGATCTTGTTACGTTTCGTAACGAGTGAAAAACCAATCGGAAGGGGATTAAGTCGACATCGACCTATCGAAATGTTCAATCTGGGACCCAAAGAGAACTTATAAAGATCGCGCAAAGTGAAGGGTGACGCTGTCGGTTCTCTGTTCTTGGTTCGTAGGCCTCCCATCTCGGACGCGTGTGCTTCCGTAGAAATAGGAAAGAAATTTTCGAATATCGTGAAAACGAACCTACTTTGGTGCGTCGCCCTGTGCCACCCAAGTCTATAGGAGCAGAATCGCCCGAAGTTGTGCCGAGCGCCCCGGGGCCTACGATTGCTTCGCTGTCTACGCGGAAAGGAAGGAAAAGAAAACTTGAACATTTGAACTTTATTCGGACTTAATCCTCGCTTTCTGTGCGGTGATACTCCGTTGTTCGAGGAAATTTTGTAAGAAATTCTTATTTTTATTAAACGGTGTAACGATGAGGCACCTGTCTCTAAGAGTTTTTTCCTCTCCCACACGATAATAGTAACCGCGCGACAATCCTGACTAACGCATTCAGTCGGCAAACCTCACAGTAGTAGGTTATACAGATAAAAATAAATATTGAAAAAGTATTCATTTAACAAGATTTAAAGCTTTTTGACAAAAATACGGAGCTTTTTTTTAATTTTTGACTATTTCCTCACGAGAGGGAATTACTCTCCTACTAAGAGAACATTTTCCATTCACCGTGGATCCGTCCGGGAGTTCAATGAGGACGGCCGGGTGGTAAAATGAAGTTAATTGCCGAGGAACAAAATAAATTAAAATATATAAAGATACATAAACAAATTATAATAGAAAATAATAACAATAAAATCATTCGTTTCTCACGTTTTTTAAACAGAGTTCGAAGAGCATCGCTTGTAAGTTTGTGGAACACCAGTTGAGAAACACTGCTGCAGATTCATTAACCGAGTATTGAAAAGTATGACACGTATTGCTGTATAATAGAAATAGTCTACAATTATACCAACGAAAATAAATAAATTGATAAACTAATAAGCTCAGAATTAGATAATTAAAATCGATACGTTTTAACAAAAAAATACGCACAAACACCGAGGATTTAAACGAACAGAAACTCAATAGATCAAACAAAGACTATCATTAAAAAGTATCAGAATGTACGGAAAAACGGAAACTTGCGCGGGTTACGTTTTCAATTATCAGAAAACAAAAAATGAAACTTAACAAAAGCAAAATGTGCAGAAGATAAAATGCCAAACTCTAATATGGAAAGTTTAGAAATACTTGTTACGATATGGCAAAGAATATACGTAGAATGTGAAGAATTGAGTGGAGAAGGTTGGTCGGACGGCTAACAACGAGTATGCACCGTATAATACGCAAAACACTGAGTTTGTTAACCTTCATACTTTCTCTGATTTTTCATAGTCTTTCTTCGTCTTAATTTTTCTCTGTGTTTTTCGATTTTACCAGGGCAATCGCTCCCGCTCTTCGATTCGTACGTCCGTATGTGGGCCTAATACAGATTTTATAACTTCGATATCTAATATCGTACCGAAAAAGTTATTTCGCATCACCCGTCTTCTGTGAATCGCCCGTTTCTACGCGTTACTCCAAAGACTCGTCGTTACCGGAAGCAGTTTTACTCGGAATAAAGTTTATAGTTTTATAATAATATTCGGCTTTCGCTATTCCAGTAAAGTAAGCCACTTTCGTCGATTAGCCACCGACGCAATTATCGTAGTTTTGTTCTACTAGTAATCCGCTACATTACGTAGGCCTACGTATTGTACTGTACTGTACAGTACAGTACTTTCGCCGATATTCATCCTATCGAGTTATACGATAGGCCGTACGAAAAATCGAGAATTATTTAGTGAATTTTGGCATTTCGTCGTCATTTATATTCGATCCGTCAGACGTTACATAATTTCCAATTTCCAATGCTAATTTCTAATCTTACCGAGACGGTTATTTGTCGTCGGGCGCCTTTTCTAGTATGGAAGTTTTAATACGGCCGAATATGCGTACCGGTGACAAAGTCCGTTTGGTTCTATACGGACCACGATAAGTTATCGCTTATTCATTCGGCTATATTAATGTCGCCTCGCCAGGCAAAGCGCCAGTTTTTTCTAAATGTCATATTTTCGTGGATAAGAAGCTTTTTATCGCCATATCTTCGGCACGGAATAGTACCGATTGTTTACATAATACGCGCAAAATGACGTTAGCAAATAGTAGAAACTCGATAATCCGAAAGGGATTTAAAAAAAAAAAAATTGGAAGAAAGCGCGGTAAGGTGACTACATACCAAAGAATACAAACACACACACGGACCAAATTCCCGACGTGACCGGAAATTAGTGCGTCACGTGTCGACGTTAACGTCCCGAAACTAAGTCAAAAATGTAATATTGCGTTAGATTTTGAGTAAATTAATTTATTCTCAAATATGGAAATCGAATCACGGTATCGATACTTTAACGTCCGCCGTCGGATGTATCCAAAACACTCAAAAAAGGAGTTTCCGGACGATCCCCGGGCCCAGAAAGTAAGGAGAGAGGAGTTTCCACAGAACAATAAATGTCGACGACGCGGAGAACGCGAGGAATACGGCATTTCGTTCATTTTTAAAATAAGATATTTATTACGGCTACAACCGTATCGAGCAACAGATTCGTTAATCACGGTAAAGGGATGGCGGAAATATTTCATTTACCTGTTAAGCGAAGGAAGAGACGCAATCCAACGGGCTTTCGATTAATCAATACCGGCATTTAAATTACGGCCGTAAGCCAAAGTAATTGCCAAGTCCGGTGCGCGGTTAGCGATTTTATACCGGCCGGTAAAGAACTTTAATCTCTTATAGAAATTTCTCAAATATTGTAGCGCCATTTGAGAGGGGCTTGTGGCGGATGGGTGAATCCGCTATCGCCGTCTTTTCTTTCCGCACGGAGATCGAACGATGGGCGGCGTTTTTAACCCGACACGCTAATCATACAAACGGAACCGACGACGAAGACGATCGATGGCGTCGTCGTTAGTCGGAGACGAAGGAAAGAAACGTGCGTTTTACGCCATTTCCCTGGGACTTTTCGGCCGCCGCGGCTAATCTTTTCTCGGAAAAGAGAAGACTAACGGTAAGAGCCAGCCATGGGACCTAAGCCTGCCCGCCTTCGGTCCGAGGAACCGTAAAATAAGAAATTAACAAATAATTACGACATATAGGAAATAAATGCCCCGGTCAACGCCTTTCTTTCCGGTCATGGGGCACGACGGACGGAAATCGCGCTATTTCTTCCCGTGCCGAACTTACGCCTTTTCCACTCCTCCCGACTCTCCTCCGGCGGGTGACAATTAATTTCTTTCGATTAGAACTTTGCTCGCCAGATGGCGACAGCGCGGAACCCGGAAAGGCCGCCACCGGCGTCGGGCGACGGAAGACCCGCCCGTGCCGGACGAACTTGCAGCGGGAAAGGAAAGGGACAGAGAGACTTCCTCGAGGTAAGGGAAAATCGCCGCCGCTCGACTCTCTCCTCTCTTCTCGGACGCGGAAACGTCTCTTTCGTGGTCGGTCCTCCTCTTTCCTCCGCCCACCACTCGGCTTTCGTTCTCGCTTTGCCTCGCCTCTTCCGGCTCCTTCCCCGAGACGAAAGCGGCCGTCGACCTTCCGCCGCGCCGAAAGAAGGGGAAGTCTGCCGCCGCCCGACGTCCCCGGGGAGCCGGGTTCTTCAACGCTGCGCGACCCCGCGACCCCGGCCGCGGCGGCTTCTTTCCGCCGTCGATTAGCGGGTCGGAGGTCGAGCGGGCGCGGAGGCGCTAATCGAAGGGGAGGAGCGGCCGTCCATCCGCGCGTCGACCGCGTCTTTGTGTCGGAAGAGGCGTCGGCCGCCTTTCTTCCCCCGCCACCGGAGGCCGTTCCGAAAACGGGGGGCATTCTAAACCTTCCCGCCGTCGGCTCCGACGCCGCCGCCGACCGCGAGGTGCGGACGACGAAGGAGAAGACCGGTAAAAGCGCGGAAGGGAAGGAAACGGAATTAACCGTTTGGTTCCGCGCGCTCGATATGGTCCGGACCGTGCCGAAGTCGTCCTCGACCCGGTGGTGGGTGGAGGAGCCGGACCCTAGCCGTCTACCGGGTCCGACGTTCCTCCGGTAAGCGGATGGCCCAGGCCGTACTTCCGACCCACCCGTCCTCTTTATTCGTAATTACGAATCGTTTTACGCTTTTATTTGTCACGGTATTATTAATTTTGGGATATTTTTGGGTATTAGGCCTATAAAACCAGGCTCGGATGCGACTTCGGTCCGTCTTTTAGGTAGCGAACCGAACTCCGACGATGAAACGTACGGGGTGGGTACGGATGGAATTACCAGGATGGGCTATTTTTAAAGATTTGGTAGGCAACGGGTTGGAAAAGAAGTCGACCAACGTATCGAATACCTAACTATTCGACCGTTAAATCTACTTTAAACTGGAGTATTTCCCATTTCGATAAAGTCATTACCACCGCGGAAGTGAGAAAATTGTTTACTTTAGTGCAGAAGCGGTGACCAGGCCCACGCCGAATGTAGAATCGACGATAGCCTATTAATGGGCGTAAGTTTTATGTCGCGTGTTATCGGTTTACTTCGCCGCCGTTCTTTGTTTGGCGAATGAGTAGTTAATCCCGAGAATTTCGTCACTCTTCCGGCTTATTTTCATTTAAATTATTTACCGAACGATTTATTCGGTATCGCATATCTTGACACTCGTCCTACGGTTTTCCTCCGCGAAAACCACTTTAATAATTTCCCTCGTCTTTTACTTAATCGCAGTTCGTAAGGTCTCCGTCTTTCGTATTTTGTCTATTTTGTGACGCGCGGAAGTCTTTACTACTTACTGCGGTAACTCGTAACGTCGCCCTTCCGAATTTTCTTAATGGCCGCTCGTCGACTGGTACTGTACCGCTAGTAGGCTACGTTTAATTCGTCGGTACGGTAGGATGCTACCCTTCGGAAACGTACGGTACTTTCTTTATAAAAAGCAACGGTCGGTAAGGGTGTCATCGTTTACGTTCTTCCATAAAATTGCCGGACGACTGTGGTATTTGGTTAATCTCTCTCCTTTTATCGCTATATTTTCTCATTGTTTATAATTAAATGCCATCTTCCCTTTACGTAAAGGCCGTAGTAAAACGGAGACGCTAATTGCAGGCTTATTGTAAATATACCGAGATACGGAAAAATATTTTAAAAATCGTAAGTATAAGTTAATTAACGGTAACGGATGTGGTCCGTCGGCCACGCTTTCACATTTTGTGCCGGGGGCACACCGGCCACGTATTTCGGTGTCCGTAAGTAAACGAAATGCAACGCATCCGCGCGCGCCCGATGTCCCGACGACCCGAGCGAGTCACCGCCGGGCAGCGTTAATCGGTCGAGACACTGGCGCCGGCATCCGAGTGGCTCCGATGACGTCGATACGGAACGTTTCCGGGTGAGGCGAAAATTCTTCCGAAATACGAAATTTCTGGGTGGAAAAGAATCGGGACAAAACCAAAAAGTAATCCGCCGCACGACGACGGATTCGGAAGAAGCAAAAGATGGGTTTACTAAAAAATTAAAAATATTTAAATCGTTCATAAATAGCCTACTTTTTCATTAACATCCGATAAACCCTGTTTGCAGTGGTCAAAACTTTAAAATGCCGCGCTTGGAAATTCAAACGAATTAAGTTTTTTGCCTCCGTGGAGAGGACTTCGCCGCTTGCCGAGGATTTTGGTGTACCGGTCGATGTGTCCAGGGTTCGATGGGAAAACGAAAAGAAGAAGAATACCGAATTTGTTTTTTCTTTCGTCTTTCCGAAAGGTATTTGTATACTGTTTATCAGAAAATCGCTGTTCTTTTACCATTTTTTCAGCCGTCGTGTATGGCAATCGAGACCCGACCGCAGTCGCTATCGATGTCGCGTCCTGGCATCGAAATATCGCTGGCGTGCACGAGTCGCGTTTACAATGACAAGTAAGCGCCAGGCTGGCAAAGAAGAGAAAAACAAAGTTGATTTATTACTTCTTTCCCCTCGTTGCCGAAATCTGCGCAATACTCTAAGTTATTTGTAGTTTGTAATTTATAGTTTGTTTTATAAAATTACAGTACAGCCTCGATTATCCGACCCCCGATTAACCGATACCTCGGTTAACTGACCGTCTAGTCGGTAAATTTAAAATGTCCGCTAGTGATGTGGCGCTACAATATTTGGCTATGTCTTGGCTACTTTAATATTATTTTTACGTGTTTTAGCTGGCAACTCTGGATCGACCATGAAAGGGAGCCAGTATTTAAACGAGGCTTAATTTTCTAATCTTTAATCTTTTTTTTTTTTCGTCCGCTTGGTGCCCTTGATGCATGGCTAACCGTCGTTCCTTCTCATGTTGTGTCTGCAATTTAAAAATTTTGGATAATGATTTACTTTCGTGTTCACAATGTTTGAAAAATGCTCATTTCTACTGTTACGGAATTGGTAGTGCTGCTTTTCATAAATTTAGTAAAACTTATAAAAAAAATTGGAAATGTGGATCCTGTAGACCAGTGAAAACTTCAAAGGGAAATGCAAATTCAGTTTTGGAATTTGGACAAGAAGATGAATTAGGTGAGTCAACTCACTTTATTTCTCCAGTAAATGCCAAACCGAGCGATTGTAATAATAAGCAAAGTAACTTCTTGCTCACTCCAACGACACCTGAGCCAACAGAGACAACCCAGTTTGACAAACTATTTTTAGAGATTAAACAAATTTATGGAGGTATGGAAAATATAAATGAAACAAATAAAAGTATAAAGGAATCGATTCAATTTTTATCAGATAAATTTGATAAAATTAATGACCGTCTAGACTCTTTGGAGATTAACAATAAAAGGTTTTTGATAGTTTTTGGTTGAAATTGCAGAGTTAAAACTAGAAAATTCTATATTGAAACGAGAATTAAATAAAACACACGAAAAATTAAGATCTATAGAGCAAGAGGTTAATAATTCAAGTTTAGAAATTGTTGGACTTCCTACTTTGATAAATGAAAATTTAACTGATATTGTTTATAAAGTTATGTCATTTGTGGATGATACATTTGATAAATTATCTATTGTAAATTGCTATAGGCCTAAGTCTCTTCCGAATGAAAGAAATCCATTGTTGCGTAAGACAAAGCCGATTGTAGTGAAATTGGCTAATGTTAATACGAAGCAAAAAATTGTCGATAAAATTAAAGAAAATAAACTAAAAATCACCTCTAGAGTATGTAATATAATAAATGAAGAATATAAAATTTATATAAATGATCATCTTACGCCATATGATAGAAATCTTTTTTATAGAACTAGAGTTTTAAAGAAGGAGGGAAAAATTCTAAATACTTGGACCAANGTATAATCAAGAAGACTCAAGCAGCTAAAGGAGTAACAAAAATCACATATGAGAAATAAAGAACATCGAAGAGTTCATAATGGAACCCTCGAAACGGATCTGACGACAGAAGAACGCCAAGAATGCTTGAATGAAGAACACCAAGAAACTCGGCGAGATATGTTTTCTTCTGAAAATGCGAACTTATGCCGATATCTGCTATTAAAGATCTTGTAAAGAAGTGGGATGATGTCAGAACAACGGTCTTAAAATGGCATCCAAACCAGGTTGAGGCTTGGGGATTTCTACAATTGCAATGCTATTAATTAATTACTTACGAAAAATCCTGAAGAAGAGAGAAAAGCAATCGACATTAGACAGATTCTTTAACCCTTTCAAACTGAAAAAACATGACTTACTAGTCATGTTTCTTCAGTTTACGTGTATACTGTGTACGTATGTATTGATATTTTTATTATTACATATAAATAAACGTAGTAAGAAAGTATAGCCTATATTTTTTATCTTGGGGAGTCTCCAGAACGAATTAATTAAATTCCCATTAAAACCTATGGTAAATCGATAATCGGTTNTGGATTTTTTCATACTTTTCGGTTATCCGACTTTTCAATTATCCGACCAACCCCAGTCCCCAATTGAGTCGGATAATCGAGGCTCTACTGTATTAGGCATAGCTGTTATTTTTTACCATTAACAAATTAATTAAGAAAAAATGTAAGTACAAAATACTGTAGTAATTTATAACATTAAGTAATGGTTTCTTTCTGGCTATTGTTAATTAGCGTCGAGTTAACTCTCGTCCGTACATTTAGCAGTATTTAGAATTAATCGCAGTTCTTTTGCGGAATCGAACGGATGAACGGCACCGCAACAGAACGAATTGTGGCAATTTCGCGAAAAACGAACGATGTTGATGGTAAAATATTCGGAGTGCAGACTCCGTGTCACTGGTTTTTTCCAACACGTTCGCTCGCTTCGTCGCTTCACTTTCGCTGCGTGGTTCAACGCACCACGCAATTTTAGGTGGCAATTTTTCTCCTCGTTAAGTACAGTACGACTACAATGAGAGAAATTGACGTGGAGACGACGATGTCACGGAGAAGC